GTTCGCCTACTCGAGTGTCCGATTTTAGTTCCAGACACTCGACGGCAAAACACCGCTGTTCGGGAGTTTTAAAATGGCCGCCACGTGTTCGTTTGTCGAATGGCGGCCACCCCCGAGAACAAAGGACGGCTACTTACTGTTCAATTACCCGTTCGCAACAATGTTGCAACGGGTAATCGAGGACACACTTCACACAGGGGAGGTCTGGTTGTTCGGTAGTTTCATTCGAATAAACTAAGGGAATGAAACTACCGAACAATCAGAGGAATACAATTCTTTTTACTGCACAGAAAATACAGCAGATATACGGATGCAGCTTTATACAGTATTTTTGTATGGTCGCCTGGTGCCATCCGCTACAAGTCCCATATAATACGAGCGGTGTTGGGCTCGCCAGACAGAGGGAGGAAAGCCACACACTTTTTTTTTTTTTTTTTTTATAAACTTCTAGAAATGTCCAGGCCTGTCTGTATTGCTATTGTAAACGTGTATTAAAGGGACACTATAGTAATGAAGCAGTTTTGGTGTATAGATCATGCCCTGCAGTCTCACTACTCAATTCTCTGCCATTTAGGAGTTACATCCCTTTGTTTATGCAGCTATAGTCACACCTCCTCTGGCTAGGAGTCACACAGCCATCCTACACACTTACAATTCCTTCTCTCCTGCTCTGTTAATGGTTTTCTAGATCCTGCAGGAGCCTCCTGTGTGTGATTAAATTTCAAGTAACTGAGCAATAGCTGTGAACTTCTAAAGTAAACACACAGTGCTGTAAAAATAAGACCTTCTTTTCATGGAGGCTGTGTGAGTCATAAGATTGATACTGCTGTTTAGAATGTATGTTAGGAAGTACTTTGAAGCCTGACTGCGTATAAAGGAAGTTGGGAAGCGCTCTGCCTACGTGTGTTGCGATGGCGTTTAATATCGAGCCTTTCCTTTCAGATACTGGAGAGCTCCCAAACTCTGCTGAATGTATTGAAGAGAGAAGCTGGAAATCTGGGGAAAGCCACGGAAGTGAGAGGCAGTGTAAATACCACACAGCCCTGAGACTGCCACTAGGCTATCATCATGTACCATAGCAATTGCTGTACTCAACGTTTTTATTTTTCATATATATGTTTTATTACCCTGTGCAGAAAGTTTAATAAAGATTATATTTCTGTGAAATGGCAGATGTTTTTAGTGTGATTTACTAAACCAGGGTTTGATAAATTTGTAATGACAAGGGTAGCTGATCTTAAAGGGACACTACAGTCACCAGAACCGCTTAATGTAGTTGTTCTGGTGTCTTTAGTCAGTCCCTGAAGGCTTTTTGCAGTAAACACTGTCTTTTCAGAGAGAATGCAGTGTTTACATTGCTCCCCTTGGGATGCCTCCAATGACAGTCACAAGAGACACTAGACGTGCTTCCTGGGTCAGTGCCGTACAATGTGCGGCACCTACGTTTAGTGAATCAACGCTCTGCATGGAGACGTGAGCATTCCCCATACAAATGGATTGATTCAATGTATCTCTATGATGAGATACTGATTGGAGCAGGACAGCGTTTTGCCACACATACACAATTGTCTCCCAATACTTTCCTATGGGAAAGCATTGGATTGGCTGAGATAATCAAGCTTGCTTATCTCAACCATGGAGGCGGAGCAATGCTGGATCAGCCACGGTCTGACCGACACAATGTGTGGAAGAGGGTGAGTAAAAACTCAGCGTGAGGACATCCAGCGACGCTCTAGCACAGGTTTTCTGTGCTATGAAGCAGGAAGTGCCCTCTAGTGGCTGTCTAGTAGACAATCACTAGAGGTGGAGTTAACCCTGCAAGGTAATTATTGCATGTGAAGAAATGACTCCGTTCATCAGGATTTCTACCTTTGTTGCACAGTTAATTCACCCAATTCAGCTGGAATTCGGCATATAGCTATAATTTCTACCCTTCGGATGGATTCAGGCGAATTCCCCGTGTAAAATCTAGGTGGCCGCCATTTCGGCACTTTACACGTGGCCGCGGCCATTTTACGTGCGAACAGCGGTGTTTGCCCGTCAACGCGTGGAACTAAAATCGGATACGCAAACAGGTGAACACCGCTGAGACCTCCATACATCCAGAACTTCGCACGGGAAAGACCGAATCACCGGCCGTTCGGTAGTTACATGCAACTTCGTATGGGGATTTCAACGACCACGAAGATGCGAACGGATGGCAGGGCTTTCGTCTCTTTTATTCGCCTAAACGGAGACCGACCGCAGGGCCAAAACTTATGGAACTATTTTCGGCTAGATGATCCGTGCGGTCGGTCAAAACTTTAGTGCTCCATAACTCCCGAACCATTCATCCGAATGGACTGATTTTTTGACATATTGTCCCCACAAGTGAACACTATCCAGCGGTGCCCAATTTAAAGGTGTACCCCTTGTTTTTGGGGTACATCCAGAACTGGGGTAAAATAGTGCACGTTTTAATGAAGTTAACTGTTTATCAGAGGGGAGGGAGGTAGGGGCTGTAACCTGTACCTGATTGGTGATTTAATGCCTCCCCCTGGGTGTGTATTTTTTGTATGTAACCCTAATAAAAAGCAGGCTGGAGATTCCAGACCTGAGATCTACTTGTACCCTGGGATTCTGGACTCTGACTGTTGGTTTGGGAATTCGTATGCTTTTACCAAGTGATTATCTCGGAAGCTGTTATATTTTATGGACTTCATTGCTTGGATCTACCTGTGACGCTGACATATTGCAGGAGGAATTAATGCTGCTCAGCTATACTTGATTTCTTACATTGTACCTCTTATAAAACTACAATAGTACTTGCAGGTTAAGGGTAGAGTTGCACTCTGCACTACTCAATGGGTAGAAGTGGCCTGGGTGCTCTGGAGTGCCCTTAACCTTGTATAGCTTTTGAGTATGTTAAAGGAAAGTGTATGGTGGGCTCACTTTCTGCTGTTACTGAGGAATAACAGGAACAAACTGCAGAAGCCACACATAGAGATATGGACACAAGTCTTCAGGAAGTAACAGGTCTTTTATTTACACACCGATCGGGTCTCACACTGAACTTGTGTTCAAAAGGTATGAGCCCAGAGCATAGTTTGCACAGGCTATTTATTAACAATAACTCCTCCCATTCATAGCGCCACTCACACATACCCTTAGCTCAATCAGTGAACAGGATATTCAGGATCACCTAATATGGGCAGACTGTATGACTCCTTTTAAGGACAAAGGAATGTGACTACAGTTGGTGCACATGCTCAGTACATTGATGACAGTATCTTAGCTACATGTAACTAACTAACAGATACAACAAACACCGGTACTTGTATATGCCACATGGAGATTTCATGCCTACTAAATTTTGAACCATTTTGAAATCCCATCACACCGCCAGTAACAGCCATGGCGACATCCCTACATTGATCACTATATAGAGAGGAGTACTGATCAATAGTTATAAATAGTTTTTCACTTTGTACAGTTGTAGATACCAGCCATGGGCGGACTGACCACTCGGGCATATCGGTCATGGACAGAGGGTCCGAGGCAGCCAGGGGCCCGGCAGCACAGCCATGCTCCAGCTGGAGAGATCAGAGATCAGATCAGAGATATCTCCAACTGGAACGAAATAAAATAATAAAATAACTTTTTAAATGATAGGTTGTGGGGCCCCTGATGCAGCGCGGGGCCCCCACAGCCTACCGCTCTTTAAATCCCCCCCCTCCTCCCATGAGACCTGGCAGCTTCATCCCCTCTCCCTCTCTGCCAGGTCTCCTTCTCCCTGTCCCACGCGGTGCTCTGTGTGATGGGAGAGGCGGGGACAGGAAGTGACATCATTTCCTGTTTACTCCTTACACACAGAGCACCGCGAGGGGGAGGAGCTGCAGCCAGTGAGACCACAAGGAGCAGAGAGACAGGTAGGCTCTAGGTACCCCTCCCCCCTCACTGTCACTGATCACCCCCCCCCCCCTCACTGTCACTGATCACCCCCCCCCTCACTGTCACCCAGTCACCCCCCCTCACTGTCACTGATCCACCCCCCTCACTGTCACTGATCACCCCCCCCTCACTGTCACCCCCCCTCACCATCACTGATCCACCCCCCCCCTCACACCCAATGCAGTCCACCCCCTCCTGTCACTGATCACCCCCACTGTCACTGATCACCCCTCCCTCACTGTCACTGATCACCCCCCCCTCACTGTCACTGATCACCCCTCACTGTCACTGATCACCCCCACTGTCACTGATCACCCCACTGTCACTGATCACCCCCTCACTGTGCACAGTCACCCTCACTGTCACTGATCACCCCTCACTGTGCTGAGTCACCACTGCCCCCTCACTTGTCACTGATCACCCCCCCCTCACTGTCACTGATCACCCCTCACTGTCACTGATCACCCCCCCTCACCATAGTCACCCCCCTGTCACTGATCACCCCCTCACTGTCACTGATCACCCCCCCCTCACCAATGCAGTCCCCCCTCACTGTCACTGATCATGCCTCACTGTCACTGATCACCCCCCCTCACTGTCACTGATCACCCCCCCCCCTCACTGTCACTGATCACCTCACTGTCACTGATCACCCCCCCCCCTCCACTGTCACTGATCACCCCCCCTCACTGTCACTGATCACCCCCCTCGCACATGGTGTCACCCCCCCCTCACTGTCATGATCCACCCCCCCTCACTGTCACTGATCACCCTCACTGTCGCACAGTCACTGATCCCCCTGTCACTGATGTCACTGATCACCCCTCACTGTCACTGATCCACACCCCCCTCACTGTCACTGATCACCCCCCCCTCACTGTCACTGATCCCCCTCACTGTCACTGATCACCCCCCCACTGTCACTGATCACCCCTCACTGTCACTGATCCACCCCCTCACTGTCACGATCCCTCCCCCCCTCTGTCACTGATCACCCCCCTCACTTGTCACCCCCCCCTGTCACTGTCACTGTCTTTGAACCCCTCACTGTCACTGATCACCCCCCTCACCTGTCACCCCTCTCACTGTCACTTGGTCAGTCCCCCCACTGTCACTGATCACCCCCCCTCACTGTCACTGATCACCCCATTGTTAGCCAACCCCCTCCTCACTCTGTCGCAGTCATCCCCTCCCTCTAGTGACAGTGAGGGACGGTGTGACTAGTGACAGAAGAGGGGTGACACAATGAAACCCAGAGTGAGGGAGGTTGTGATTAGTGACAGAGGGAGGGATGGGGTGACTAGTGACAGTCACCCCCTCCCTCACTCTGTCATTGTGTCACCCCCTCTCTCTCTCTGTCACTAGTCACCCACTCCCTCCCTCCCTCTGTCACTAGTCACCCACTTCCTTACTGTCACTAGTCCCACCCTCCCTCACTCTGTCACTAGAGTGAGGGGGTGACTAGTGACAGAGTGAGGGGGTGACTAGTGACAGAGTGAGGGCGTGATAGGTGACAGAGGGAGGGGATGACTGGTGACCGAGTGAGGGAGGGGGTGACTAGTGACAGAGTAAGGGACGGAGGGGGTGACTAGTGACAGAAGGAGGGGGGAGTAGTGACAGAGTGAGGAAGGTGGTGACTAGTGACAGAGGGAGGGGGTGACTAGTGACAGAGTGAGGGCGTGATAGGTGACAGAGGGAGGGGATGACTGGTGACCGAGTGAGGGAGGGGGTGACTAGTGACAGAGTGTAAGGAAATCAAGTATAGCTGAACCGCTTTGATAATTCCTCCTGCAATGCCAGCGTCTAAGGTAGTTCCAAGCAATGAAGTCCATAAGAAATATAACAGCTTCCCAAGATAATCCCCTTGGTAAAGCATACGAATTCCCAAATAACAGTCAGAGTCCAGAATCAGGATACAAGTAGATCTGAGGTCTGGGATCTCCAGCCTGCTTTTTATTAGGGTTACAGACAAGAAATACACACCCAGGGGGAGGCATTAAATCACCAATCAGGTATAGGTTACAGCCCCTACCTCCCTCCCCTCTGATAAACAGGTAACTTCATTAAAACGTGCACTATTTTACCCCAGTTCTGGATGTACCCCAAAACCAGGGGGTACACCTTTAAATTGGGCACCGCTGGGTAGTTCTCATTTGTGGGGACAACATGTAAAAAAATCAGTCCATTCGGATGAATGGTTCGGGAGTTATGGAGCACTAAAGTTTTGACCGACCGCACGGATCATCTAGCCGAAAATAGTTCCATAAGTTTTGGCCCTGCGGTCGGTCTCCGTTTAGGCGAATAAAAAGACGAAAGTCCTGCCATCCGTTCGCATCTTCGTGGTCGTTGAAATCCCCATACGAAGTTGCATGTAACTACCGAACGGCCGGTGATTCGGTTTTTTCCGTGCGAAGTTCTGGATGTATGGAGGTCTCAGCGGTGTTCGCCTGTTTGTGTATCCGATTTTAGTTCCACGCGTTTGACGGGCAAACACCGCTGTTCGCACGTAAAATGGCCGCG